CATATTTTTGATACTAATAGTAGTCAGCACCCACACTGCTTCAAAAATGAACACAATTTGTGACAATACTCACTGTACCTGCTACTTTAAACAATTTCAAACTGTAGCTTTCACTAAGCAAGATGGATAAGCATGCTATGTGTTTTCCCTTCATAATATTTTACTTTTCAGAAACACACATTTCCACTGACATCTGACAATTCTTGTCATGCTTTCATCTTGTAAACCTGAATTCTATTTGGAGTACTCCAGGTCCGTGTTTCAATGACAGTGCCTTAACAAGAAAGAAAAATTGTGCCACATTTTTCCTCCTGTTACCTGAAAACATAATGGGTGTACATATATTCTTCAAACATCCAAGTCATGTTAACCAGCTGCAGTTCTCACTCAGTGTCCAGGTATTTTGCATTGTGATATTTAATCAAGACAATTAATATGTGTAGAAGGTTGCTGATTTAACTTAACCAGCTGCAGTTCTCACTCAGTGTCCAGGTATTTTGCATTGTGATATTTAATCAAGACAATATGTGTAGAAGGTTGCTGATTTAAGACAAGTTTGAGATCCACTGAAACTGTCGTATGTTTGTCCTTCTGGTGGTTGTGGAAGCTGCATATTTTCTTTGGACATCATTAGACATCTTAGCTCTTGAAGTACTTTAATGCAATATGAACTTTGCCATTTTGCTAACACTGGTATGCTGTGTGCATCCACCATTTCACTGGATTTATTCCATTCATATTAATTTTTGTTACAAATCTGATGGAAGAGCTTCTGGGTGTTTAGGTCCACATTCTACTTTCAGGCTATAATTTGTCCTTGGTGGCCCAGTGATCATGCCTGTCCACCTTGTATCATATCTTCGTCATCTTCAAGGCCCCAGGTAACCGTACCATCGCCTACTCCTTTTTTGTGCTTCTTCAAGTTCTTCCAACTTTTAACTCCTGTGGAGACTGCCATCTTCTCCTACCTATCCTAGAATTTTGGTAGTCATTTCTCTTAAGTTCTCTTTCTGATAGGATTTGGGGCTGATTTAGTTGCTTCTATTGATTCAGCAGATACATTTGAAGCCATCTCATGATTAAGCAGTTTCTTAGCTTGACTTGTATTATATAGATTTCTTTTAATTCTTTGTAAAACTCTTGGCTTTAAGCCTAAATAGAGTTGGAGTTTTTCCAGATCTTTATTAACAGCCTCTGGGTTTCTCTTCCTTTCTCCTATAGTCTGGTTTCCATTAATACTGTGTCAAGGGCTCTGAAGTGTTCCTCTATAAAGCTAAGCTCAAGCACAGATGTCTTCTTACCAGAATGGCAGACATTCTGGCAGCCCTGGACAAAGCTAGTCTTTCATGGTGAAAAGTTGAGGGCAACACTACCCAGGGGCAACATCTTCCACAGCAACATGAGGTCTTGCTCAAGCTTCCTGCACAGTGTCATTGCTGGCACTTCATTTCCATGACTAGCAAGAAACTGTCACTGCCTGACACTTATCCCAACCAACAGCACTATGTATATCGCACTATAGCTGCTGGCAGGCAGATTATAAGGCTGTCTTTACTGGACAAGGACAGGGCCACAGGAAGCAGAAGTGGTAGCCTAGGGCTTAGGTGACTCAGCCCTGTTCCCCTCCTGTGGGAACAGAGGGGCACTCTCCATGGCTGCTGTGTTGACTGTAATAGGGGGCAGAATAGGAGGACAGCAGTTTGGGTTTATACATGAAGTGTCCCTCAAAAACTCATACTGAGGGCACTAGCCAGAATGAATAAGTCTTTCCCCTCTTAAGTTGACTTTCTTAGGTTTTTCAGGAGCCTAGCAGAGGGTCACTGCAGCACCTCATGGAGAGAGATGGGTGGCTGACCAGGGTCTCTGGCCACTGCAGTGTCCAGGAAGCACAGGCCTAGAGAGCCTATTCTGTGCCCTAAGCAGCCGGTGCAAGCCAGACAGTGGGAACACAGAGCTGCTTGGAAAGGTGTCTGGCCAAGGGAGGACCAAAGGATGGCCACTGTGAGGTACCTGACGGCTGGCATAGCCTTGTAGAATAGTGAAAAACCACTGCATATCAAAGAAAGGGGTGCTGAGAAAAGGAAACAGGCGAGAGAAAAGGGCATTATTTTGAAGAAATAATGGGTGAAAACTCCCCCAGACTTTAACAGGAGTGAAGAAATTTAAGAAACTCAGTGAACTTCCATGAGGATAAACTAAGAGACCCCTGTAACACACATGGACATTACTGAGGAGTGAGATAAGACCGCTCACAATGGCTGAGAGACTTACGCACCCCACTGTAAATAATGATCAGCTAGACAGACAAATCACTGGTGAGTGTAGGATTTGAACAGGCCAACTAAACTAACAGACAGACATATACACAATACCCCACCAACAACAGCAGAACACACAGAGCATTCCCAAAGAGACAAACCATAAAAACTATTTTCTCCAACAATGGAATGAAGCTGGAAAAGGAAACTAGGACATCCACACATGTGTGGAAATAAAACAAGACACTCTCAGCCGGGGTGGGGGGGTGAGGGGTGGATGGGGTGGGGTGTCAAAGAATAAATCAGAAGGGAAACTAGAAAAAATCCTGAGATAATGACAATGAAAACACAGCATACCCTAAATTCAGGATGCAGTGAAAGCATTGCTAAGGAGGAAATTTATAGCTGTAAATATTTATATTAAAAAATGAGAGGTCTCCAATCAGGAACCTACTTTACACCTTAAGGAACAAGAAAATGAAGAGCAAACTAAACTCACAGCTAGTAAAAGTAAAAAATGTTATAGAGAAGAAAATAGAAAAAAAAATGGAAAAAAATAGTGAAATAGTTCTTCAAAAAGATAATAAAATTTACAAAACTTTAAGAAAAAAGAATCAACTGAATCAGAAAAGGAAGCATTAAGATTGTAGAGTGGGCCGGGCGTGGTGGTGCACGCCTGTAATCCCAGCACTCAGTAGGTTGAGGCAGGAGGATCGCTGTGAGTTCTAGACCAGCCTGGGCTACACAGTGAGTTCCAGGTCAGTTTCAACTACATAATGAGACCCTGTCTCAAAAACAAACAAACAAACAAAAGAGACTGTACAAGAGGCCAGGATTTAGTGCAGTAGTTCCACTGCCTACCTCACAAGCACAAAGTCTCGAGTTCTATCTCTGGTACACACACACACACACACAAAAAAAGATTGTATGAGAGTACTATGAAGAACTGTATGCTAACAAACTAGGTGCCTTAAATGAAATTTCCTGATTTCCTGGAAATGTACATCCTACCAGGACAGAATCTCAAACAGGATATCTGAATGGATCTGTAATAGTAGGGGCATTGTTGGAAAGCTGTTGATTACTAATTCAAAGAAAAGGGAATACTTCCTAACTTTATGAAACCCGATACCAAAGCCTGACAAAGACACTATATTGAAAACTATAGATCAATATCCCTTATTGATATAGATATAAAAATCCTCAACAGAATAACAAATTGAGCTGGACATGGTGATGCAAACCTGTAATCCCAGTATTTGAGAGGCTGAGGCCAAAAGAATTCAACAAAATGAAGTTGAGTCCCTCCTGCATATTAAAAGGATTATTTACCATGAACAAGTGGGATATATCCTAGGAATGGAAAAAAACATTGCAATAATCACATTATAGCATGAGAGAGGCACATATGGATTTTCACTCCTGTAGAAAATGCATTAAGACTACAAGCATTCCTCCTAAAATCAAGAACAAGACAAAGCTAAAGCTGCCTTGCACCACTATTTAACATTGTACTGAAAAGCCAGAGCTATTAAATAATAAAAGACATCGAAATTAGAATATGTGAAACTATCTCAATTCACTGATGACATAATCCTTTATACAGAAAATCCCTAAGAATCCACTAGAAAGCTACCAAACAAATCTAGACGTTGCAGGGTACAAGACCAGCACACAAATGCAGTTACAGTTCTATACAGCAGCAGTGAATGATCCAAATAGGAACCCAAGAAAGCGATTATATTAATGATAGCATCTAGAAGAAACACCTAAGGATAAATAAAAAATGTAAAGGAGTTTACCACTTATATGCTAAAAACATATGAAACATGGAAAGAAATGAAAGAAGATGTCAGTGGAGAGACATCCCATGTTCATGAGTTGACTGTAAGATGTAGCATCATGAACAGATGTCACTACTGCCCAAAATGACCTGCAGAGGTAATGCCATCCCTATCAAAACCCCAACAACCTTTTTCACAGAAATGGAAAACCCTATGCTCATATGGAATTTTAGTGGGCCCCAGAAAAGAAAAAGTCTTGAAAAGGAAAAAAGTTGGAGGAGTCATGTTGCCTGCTTCTAAAAAGACCACAAGTATACAGAAAGGTGCTGGCGTAAGGACAGACAGACCATGCCATGATATAAAGAAAAGAGAAATTTTAATATATTAGGTCAAATGATTTTCAATAGGGGTACCATGATCATTCAGTGGGGAAATCATGATCATTCAACATAGGGCACAGGGAAAACTAGATATCAACATAAGTAATGATAAAAGTGAACCCTTACCTGACACTATAAACAGAAACCAGCTAAAAATGAGTCAAAGACCTAAACTTAAGAACTAATTATAAAATCCTTACAACACTGAGTGTGTTCATGACTGAATTTGGCAGTGATTTCTTAGCTATGACACCAAAATTATAGGCAAACAAAAGGAAAAATATATAGCGATTCACCAAAATTAAGAGCTTTTGGGCATCAAAGGCTAATATGGTGAGTAAAAAGGTAACTCATTGAATGAGAAAATATTTGCAAATCACACAGCAAATAGAGAACAACAAGAAGACAACCCACCTCAAAAATGGGCAAAGGAAAAGAGGGGAACTTGAATAGACATTTCCCCAAAGAAGACACAAACACTTGGAAAGATGATCAACATCACCAGGGAAATGCAAATTAAGACTACAGTGAGATTCCACCTCACACCACCTAGGGTGGCTATTATTTAAATTAAAAAAAAAAAGTGGTTAAGGATGTAGATAAATTGTAACCCTCGGTAGTGCTGGTAAGCACAGTGGTACGGTCACTGTGGAGTACAATTTGGCAGTGCCTCGAGTTAAATACACATGTACTTAACAGCAGTTCCTCTCTGAGGTACATATGCAGAAGAATTGACAGCAAGGGTTCCAACAGATAATCTTATACCTGTGTTCCTAACAGCCTTATTCAAAATAGACAAAAGGTAGAAATCAGTTAAAGGATATTAACATCCTCCAGGAAAACAATAAATACATGTGTATCTGTGTTAACAGAAAGGCTGGTGGGAGCTACCATGAATATTTTGCAAGGCAGGCTGGAGACCCAGGGAAGAGCTGGTATCACAATTTCACGTCTAAGGCAGTATTCCTTTGATGCATTTTAATGCCACCAAATTTTATGTCCATTTACCACAAAAAGAAATGGGGGGGGGTGCTACATATGACCATATGCAAAGATGTCAAAAGATTCTAAGCTTTCCCAATCCCATGAGGTTTTGCTTAATAAAGCACTTTCAAACAACCACTACATTTCCATTAGTTATTTGTCCTTACTTTTGATTTTTCTTTGGAAGGCCCTTCCCAGTATTTCTGACCACTGACCTTGCTTGTGAAACTGTAAGGAAAATGGAATCTCATTTCCACACCAAAATAACAAGCATCATAAAATGTAAAGTCGTGAGTTTATTGCATATGTAACAAAATGAACCTGACCTCCCGGGTCCAGCCTGCTGTACAATCTGTTTTGTGTTTCCAGCTGGTTCCATAATCACATTAAATAGAACTAGTATTTAAATACTTTTGATTTTGACATAAAACGGAACATTAGTGTACAACTTTGACAAAATAAATCAGCAATAAAAACAGTGGGAAGAGTAAGGATAGCAGCAATACTTAAAAATAAGACATTACAAAATAAATTAAAAATACATTATAAAGTGGTTGAGAAACAAAAATAAACAAACTTTAAAAATCCATACTGTGTTTCAGGAAGGCTGCTGTGCGGCACACACCAGCTGCAGGTGGCAGGGTGTGCTCTCTGCAGAGGGCCATTCCTGACATCTCCAAGTTGAGGCCCACCTGACCTGAATTTGGACCACATGGCTAATCTAGCTTAGGGGCCAAAATCCAACCTAGTGGCAGATTCTCCCTTTAGAGATCCAGAGAGTGCTATGTGCTGTCCCCCTGAACTGCCATGCAGTCGCCTTACTTTCCTGCCCTAACTCTGCAGAGTGGTGGTTTGCTACATCCCTGAGTGTCGGCTGTTGGCCGCTGGGAGGGCGAGCCTGGAAAGTTGGGCCCCTGAAGGATTTGGGTGAGGAGGGCCCATGGGGCAGGGATGAGGGGACCAACAATATCACATATGGGACAACCAGGAACTTTTACCATGGACTTGCCATGCAGTGTCCTCAGGGAGTGCAAAAGCCCTGGACCATGGTCAGCAGTTCAGGTTCTGGAAGTACAGCACCCTGACAGAGGCTGAGTAGAGAGAGCAGACCAGACAGAACTCTGGGGAGGTCTGCAACAAGGCCATGGTGGGCCGAAGCCACTACCTCAAACTTAGCTGAAGGGACACCCAACAAGAAAGGTGTAGGGCCAGTGAGTAAGCTGATCAAGACCATCCCACCATTCCTCCCAGCACAAGAAGCTAGTATTCACAGGTACCACTCCTGCTTCAGTCTTGAACTGAGAGACCCTGGCTTCCCTCCTCACCACTGCAGGTGTGGGGTGGTACCACCAGGAAACCAACAGAACTTCTGACATCAAGACTTAAGCTGCTTCCCACAGCTGGGGTCGGGTCACGGAGAAAACCTCCCTGGGGGCCTGTACCTTTCAGTTCCTCAAGCTTCAGGGGAGATTGTAAGGGAAGACTAGATGGGAGTCCTGGGGGAATGGGTTTCTAGAACGCCCTCCAAAGCATCAAGGTGAAGGAGACACAGATAAGCCCTATTAGGGCAAGGCAAGAAATTGAAAGACTAAGGCCACATGTCGGCCTGGACGTTTGAATGGATTCAACTTTCCTTCTGCAGTGAGTCCCACATGGTCCCTTTGTCCCAGCACATCAGCAGCCAAGAGTGTGGCTCAGACTCTACAGACCCTGGGACCAGCAGCTTCCAAGCTAGACAAATCTAGACCAGGTCTGTGACCTAAGATGGTGAGCGCACCCCAGACTGCTTCCAGGGCAAGCTCAAGAAGCGCAGCCAGATGCAGGGGTTAGTGATCCTTCTCACCGCCGGTCTCAGTAAAAGTAACAAAAAGAACAGATGAAAGTCATCCTAAGGTCCTTCCTGATCCATCTCAGACCACAGTAGGAGTCAACACTGAACTCAGATTTCAACAGCAATGAAATGTCTTGCTAATGAATTACCCTGTACTTGCCCCCGCCCCAAACTGAAACAGCAGCAACACCATACCAAAAAGTTTGTTGCTGCTACTGTTTTCCATGGAGGCTTAGCTGTCCCAAACCAAGCCACTCTGTGGAAATAAAACACTGTCAGAACTTTTGTGCAAACTGGAGATGGTGTCAGAAATGTAGAGTTGGCTGGCTTTGGCCTTGCTCAGCCTATGGAGACATGTGGGTAAGTGAACTAAACTGTTAATGTCACCACTGCCACTAGGTGAAGGGGCCAACTGGGTCTGTGTGGAGCTGTCCCCATCCTGTGTCACTGGTTTACATCCATACCCTGTTTGTGTACAGCAAGAACTCGTGTGGAACTGGTCAGCAGGGCCACTGTTCCACTCTCTTCAGCTAGTAACAAAATTGTTAGTTGAGCTCTTAGCAATTGCCAAATCAAAGTCTGTAACATTTCTAGAGATGCAGTCGGTGCTCCTCCACATACACCAGGGCACAGGAGTCCGCACTGGACCGACTGGTTGGATATGAGGCTGGTTTTGGTGTGTTCTTTGCTTAGCTCCATTATGTGGTATTTTCACCAGAAACATTTTCAAACTGGATATAGGACGCAGCAAAGGAAAGATAGTTTTTCTCTGTGCAAAATGAGTTTTTTCAGCCAGGATACCCTGCAAAGAAATACCCTGGGCTTCCAATGAAAGCTGCTCCAATTCCTTCACCTCTCAAAGGGGAAACACATTTTGACTCAAGCATCCTGACGTGGCACAATTCCAATAAGCATCTACTACATAGTCACTTTTCAGTTAGAAATTAATCTGCCACCCAGAACAGGCTCCTAGGATGTAAGATTTGGAATTTGAGCTCTGGTAAAGTAACTAGCAGCTCTGCTGAACTTGAAAAGGGGCGCTGAGGCTGTACGGAGAGGAGATGGCTGGTATGCAACCATGCAAACCCTTGGTGGGCCCAGCTCGCCCTACTGTGGCTCATGCTCCTATGAAGAGCACAGGGCTCTGAGCCTTTTCATCATGTGTAACTGAGGCCAAAGGCAGAACCTGGCTGCGTTTTATTGGATGGGTGATGGAGGGGGTGGGAAACTATAATAAAGGAGGGACAGATGGTGGGAGCCACCTACGAAAGTTCCCTGCCCCCTCCTTCTGCCAAGGAAGGAGGGAGAAAAGCCTTTTCCCTCGGGTTTCTGGAATTCCAGGCCTCAGCCAGCTTTGCGGGAGGCACACAGGAGCTATATGCTTTTGGTCTCGTGGTCATGAGTGAGATTCTGCTGCCTTGAGCTGCTCTTCACTCCACAGCAAAGCCACAGGTCTCCTCCACAGCAGTCAGCAGTTTCTCATAGAGCTTCTCATAGGACTCATAAGGTGGGATGTCGATCCGATTAAAGCTGGAGAAGGACAAAGGAACAAGAGTCACTGCTGGGGGCAACTTCTTGGGTTGCCTTCCAGGTCACAGCCAGGCAGGAGGCAAGTGAGCAGCAAGTGTGTGGGAGCATGACAGCCCATCGCCTGAGTGGGGGCAGGGAGGATAGGGTAGTGAGTTCTCCACCTCTTCTTGGTGTTTTACCACTTCTAAGGCAAAGATTTTTCAGTCAACCCACAGCAAAATAAATCTCAAGACCTTCAATACCAAACTATAACTAAATTACTACTTAGACTGTTTATATGAGAACAAAGTTCATAATTTGTCTTTTGTCATTGGGAAGAATTATTTTTCCTTACCAGGAACACCCCTTTGCTGACCCCTGGAATCTAGACTGGCCATCAGCCAAGTCTCTGCTGATTTGTCTGTTCCTTTGGGATTTGATCTGAGACCCAAATGGGGCAGTCTGGAAAATTCCCTGCAAAAACACATTATATCTCAAACCTTTTAATAAAGTGCCAAGTCCCTGAAAGATGAAATGAATGTTAAATTTCTGACTCAATACTTCCATGGGAAATTCATTTTTAGTATTTATCCAAGAAAAAGACATCGTTTAGGAAACTTCTCTCATAACACAGAAAACACAGAGCTATGACCCAGAGCACATGGTAGCTTGTGAATTACTGGGACTCAGCTCTCAGGTGCTCAGCACCTAGGGACAGCTCCATCTGTGAGTTTGGTGGGGTGGTGCTCCTTTAACAATACTTTCAGTGTTAGAGAGCATTTTTCTCATGTCTTTTATGCCAAGTACTGAACTACTAAAGGAGAGAAGCCTTTTGAGGAAGGCATCACCATGTTCCAACATGGCAGGTTCCTGTAAACAGATGACACCAACATGGGGGTGGAGGGGCTCCACAGGGCAGAGCTTTCATGTTGTCCAGGAGGCCTAGGATAGCTGCCTTACCTTGTTTCCCAGATGTTCATTCAGTCTAGTTAGAATATTCAGTAACTTGCCCTGAAGCCCATCACTAGAGGGTATGAGAGCAGCACCTACACCCATGCCCCTGGGTCAGCATCCCAACAACATTTGGAACCTGTTTCCTACAGGAGAGGCTAGTGGTCCTGGGATAAAGTAGATGCCTGGACAAGATCTTTAAACCACTATATATGCTCATTTTTAAGCTAAAATTTAGGAAGAAAACTTTTGAAAATGGCATCTCATGAATAGAACCAGAAATGTTCAAGTGAAAACCAATAAATACAAATTCAAATCTTAGCTTTGCCTTCTGATAGGTACACACATGCACAGATTCATGGAGGCCCAGCAAGAAGGAAAAAGGGTTTCTGCAGTGGCCGCCACAGGCTATCACCAGAATACGAGCACTGATCAGTTACAGCAAATCAGTTTTGTAAGTCTCCTGACAACACTCACACAAACGTCCCATTGACACAAATGCTCTTACTGCTATCATCTGAAGCTCTGCATAAATGAAATGCAGTCCTACAATGAAGAAAACAGCTGAAACAAGGAGACAGACCAGTGCTCTGGCCCCATTCCCAGGACCCAGTGCCACCCAGCAGCAGTTCTTACCAGGTATGGGCCTTGGGCAGGTTGTCTGTGTTTGCATCTATCAGGTGAATGGTGAAGAGCCGGGGCCCTGCCGCGCCTGTAGAACCTTACAAGACAATATTCTAGTCAATGCACCTTAGAGGCAGAGCCCCAGTGCCAGGCACAGTGCCCTGCTGGAGGGTTGCATGGCCTCAGTGGCACCAGTACAGAAATCAGACATTTTAGAGAACTTAGGACATCTAAGAAGGTCCTCACATCCCCTGACTAAGCAGCCGCAGGGTGTCTGACAGTGAAATCTCTCTGCACCCTCTCTAAACAGAGAGATCACTGTCCCTGGGTCCTTCCTTGCTCAGGTTTTTTCAGACTCAGCCTCAAGTGACACCATGCTGGCCAGCACCAGTCACAGCTGCTACCACAAAGATGGGGCCAACATTGTGACACCCGCCTGCAAACTGATGCTGTTCTGGACATGACTGTGGAGGCCACTGGACTCCCTTGTGCTGGTATTTGCTCCCATGTGTTCACTGGCTCCTTCCAGGAGGGCAAAGACCAGCAGTGCGTGCAGCAGCAAGTGGGGTCGTAATGATGATGGCAACAGCCCACCATCTTCTAGAAGGCAAGAGAGTCCCAATGGCCCCTGGATGGAAGCTGCGGCCCCCTTAGCCACAGTGGTAGCTGGGGCAGCACTATGCTCTCCAGAGTCCCAGTCTGCCTCCCTGCAGCCAACAGTAATCATGTCTCCTCCCACAACACTGACACTCTGTCCTGAACAAGGACCCTGTCATGGCCCCGATTATACCTGAGCCATGTCTGTGCTGCCTTCCTTGTACACACTACAGGGACACTGATCCCAATTCCATCTGATTAGAGAGGATACTATAAGATCCTTACAGCAATAAGGAACTTTCCAAGTAGGGCTGCTGTGTGGGTCATCAATGAATCAGGAAAGCAGTCTGGAGTCACAGTATCAGGCTTCTGCCCTTACCACCTCACTATTTCCTTGGAGGGAAAAATAAATCCTAGGACCTCAGTGAGTCTTGGTTTGTTCATCTGTGCAGTAGGGATGGAAAGCCTGCTCAGCTTACTCTGTAGGTGCTGGGCAAGCAGGCAGAGACCCAGGATGCTCAGCCTGGAATCCTTTCCACTGGCACTGGTCCCTACAGAACTCTACAGGCAGATACCACCAGTCTGCTTCCCTGGGGGTGTCTCAAAAGTCCTAGTGAATATTTCGTATTTGCACCAAATCTGCAGCCTCAGGCTGTGGCCACAGTGGCTACAGGTGGCTCCTTTCACTTTCTCCCTGGAGTGGGGTCCTGGTCAGGTGGCTCTGCAGACAGAAAACACCAAGGCCTTACCAGACACCTCAATGGCCCTTCCCAGTCTGACCATGTATGCTTTCTGAAAGTGGTAATGACATGGGAACCATGTGCCCTGTTCTGTACTCAGTAGGGATCTGCCACCCACCTGGCATATGGTGGCAGTGACAGGCCTCGATTGTAAGAGAATATAGGCCAGTTTCCTAGTGGATATCTCACCAAACATTCAAGTTTTCTCTACCACAGCCTAGTCACAACACATGCCATGTAGCACACCTCAGAGACTAGCCCTACCGCCACGTCAGTCACCTTGTAGAGCCTTGAATCCTTGGAGAGGGACTCGGGTGGAGCCAGTTACAAACTGTAGGAGCCTAGCTCTTCTCTCTTCATCGAAGGTTTCCACTGCCTGCCAGAACCACCTGACAATGTTGCTGTCTGCCACACAGTGCTTCAGCCGTGTGTTGGATTTCCAGTCATTCAGATCAATCTTGTCCAGGCCACCTATAATCAACTGAGCAGTATAGCAGGGGGTTATTGCCAAAAGACAGAAGCCACGGTGTGATGCGTGCAAGGGATTAAAAGAGTTGGTGGCCAAAGCCAGGAAGGAGCTATGTCTTAGTCAGATGCTTAGACGGGAAGAAGCTGCACACAGAGGAGCCCAAACCTTAGCTTCAATCTTTCCCAGCTGGCGCTCAGCCCCAGGATGACAGTGCCCAGCTACTGACATGGCACCATCTTGGAAGCAAAGCTCTGCTTGTGCTCTGCAATGATGAGGTGCGACTATCAAAGGACCAACTGGCAAAACTGAACATAGCTAATTGTAACTAAGACCATACCATGGCATCCCTACAGGACACACAAAGGACCTTGGCAAGTTATACAGAGCCAGGGTATGTGGGATATGATTCCCTACTTGTTTAAAAAGCTCAACTGGGTTTGGTGACACACATCTGTAATCTCAGCACTCTGTGAGGCTGGGGCAGGAGAATCCACAAGACTAGGCTGGACTACTCAGCAAGACTCAGCCTCCACGACAACAGAGCTAAAGAAGTATCTAAAGAAGCTAAAGAAGTGCAAAGTGTAGCCCTGGGTTCCTTCCCAAGTACTGGGGCACAGGGGTTGTTTTACAACCACCTCCCACACAGGTGTTCTGAGCTCCAGCATCTATGAGACAGTCAGAAGGTGTGGGCGGGCCTGTGGGCACCACACTAAAACAGCCCCGTGCCCAAGCCCAGGAATTGTGATCAGAGGACATAGTAACACCTGGTTCTGTCTATTAATAGCCAAAATAAACAAGCAGGATTGGAGTAGATATGAGAAAGGGTCTTTGGTCTAAGGTGAAGGCTGTGAAAAGCCAGCACAGATGCCCTCAGCTCCCGACTCAGCCTTTCTTGGACGTAGCTGAGTTTCGTATAGCACCAGTGGCCTAGTGCCAAACACCTACCTCTAGTTCCTTCTGGTCAAAGGGCTTCAGTAAATGCTGAGGGATGAGTTCATTAAACCCCTTCTGAAGTGCCAAGAACTGGGCTTCAATGCCTCTCATAAACCTCCAGTTTACATACAACCTGAAAGAAAAGGCTACAGGTTAGAAGCAGTACCAAATGGGTCACAGAGACACTATCTGCCTCCAGCAGCAGGCTCAGGTTTGACAGTGCAGCCAGCCCCTCCCCACTAAGACAAACACAAACCCCACTGACTGAAGCACCATGCCCCAACACTCAATTAAAAATGAGGCAGGAGAATTGCCAAGTTCTGGCCCAGTCTGGGCAACTTAGCAAAATCCTGTCTCTAAAAATTGGGTTGGGGAGGTAGCTCAGTGTGAATGCCCTGAGTTCAATCTCTAGTACTGAAAAATGAAACAAAAGCAAAACAAAACAACCTCAGCATGTTTCTCTATATATTCTGAATTTTTACTAAAACTAGCAGTAGGACTTGGCTTGCTGGATCAAATGCTATAATTTAAAAGTACATTTGGACTTCCACCAACAATGGAGAAGGGTTCCTTTCTCCCCACAACCCCGCCAACATTTGTTATTGTTTGATTTCTTGATAGCAGCCATTCTTTGTGGGGTGAGGTGGAATCTCAGTGTTGTTTTCATCTGCATCTCTTCAATGACCAGTGATGTGGAAATTTTTTTTCATATATTTACTTGCTGCTTTTACTTCTTTGTCTGAGAAATATCTGTTCATTTTGGATGCCCATTTTTGAATCGGGTCTTTATATTTGGGGGGGCTGGTTGTTTTGAGTTCTTTATATATTCTAGATAATAGTCCTTTGTCTGAGGAGCAGCTGGTAAAAATTTTTTCCCACATTGGAGGTTGTCTCTTAGTTCTGTTGATGGTTTCTTTTGCAGTGCAGAAGCTTTTTAATAAGATGAGATCCCACTTGTTGATTCTTTCTGCTAGTTCCCGTGCTACTGAGGATTTGTTCATAAAGTCTTTTCCTACACCAATGTCTTCCAGAGTTCTGCCTAACTTATCTTCCAGCAAGTTTAGTGTTTCTGTTTTAATATTAGATCTTTAATCCACTTCAATTTTAGTTTAGTGCATGGTGAAAGATAAGGGTCCAGTTTTAAGCTTTGGCAGGTTGAAATCCAGTTTTTCCAACACCATTTATTGAAGAGGCTATCTTTCCTCCACTGAGGATGGTCAGCTCCTTTGTCAAAGATGAGGTAGCTGAGTACATCTGGATTTGTTTTTGTGTCTTCCAATATGTTCCACTGATCCTCAGATCTGTTTCTTTGCCAGTACTGTGCTGTTTTTATCACAGTGGCTTTGTAGTATAGTTTCAAATTGGGAATTGTTATACCCACTGCCATGTGTCTGTTGCCTAGGATGGCCTTTGCTATTGTAGGTCTCTTATGGTTCCAAAGGAATTTTTGGATTCTTTTTTCTAGTTCTGTGAAGTATAGTGTTGGAATTTCAATTGGCATTGCATTGAATCGGTATAGCAGTTTTGGTAGTATGGCCATTTTCACTATGTTGACTCTTCCTACCCAGAAGCAGGGGATATTTTTCCATTTTTTAATATCCTCTTCAATTTCTTTTTTCAAAGTGCTATAGTTTTCAGTGTAGAGATCTTTTGCTTCTTTTGTTAGATTGATTCCTAGATACTTCATTTTTTTGGATGCTATTGTAAAAGGAATTTTTCCCTTTATTTCTCTGTCAGTGAGTCTGTTATTTGCGTATAAGGCGGCTATTGATTTTTGGGTGTTCACCTTGTATCCAGCTACTCTACTGAATCTGTCAATTAAGTCTAGAAGTCTTTTGGTGGAGTTTTTTGGGTCTTCAATGTAGAGTATCACATCATCAGCAAATAATGACAATTTAACTTTTTCCTTTCCTATCTTTATTGCTTTAATTTCTTTCTCTTGTCTAATTGCTGTGGCTAATGTTTCCAGAACTATATCGAAGAGGAGTGGTGATAGTGGGCATCCTTGTCTTATTCCTGATTTTAACATGAAGGTTTTCTGTTTTTGGCCATTTAATATGATGTTGGCTGTAGTTTTTCACAGATAGCCTTTATTAAGTTGAGATATAGATCATCTATTCCAATGTTTTGCAGGGTTTTTATCATGAATGGGCGTTGAATTTTGTCAAATCCTTTTTCTGCATCTATTGAGAGGATTATATGGTTTTTGTCCTTGACTTTGTTGAAGTGCAGACTGGTGCAACAACTGTGGAAATCAATATGGAGATACCTCAAAGAGCTTGGACTGGAGGTTCCATTTGACCCAGCCATCCCTCTGCTGGTTATCTTTCCAAAAGAACTAAAAGAATCATATCACAGAGAAGTATGTGCACCCATGTTTATAGTGGCACAGTTTGTAATAGCTAAAACTTGGAAACAGCCTATCTGTCCATCAGTTGGAAACTGGATAAAAAAGATGTGGCTTTTCTATAAAATAGATTATTACTCAGCTATAAAGAATGAGAAAATAGATTCATTCATAGGAAAATGGATACATATTGAGGATATACTCCTAAGTGAAATAAATAAGTCACACATGTGTAAATACCGAATAGTTTCTCTGGTGTGAATACACTGCAATAGTACATAAAATCCTAATGAGATAATTGACATTGTGAAATGGGAAGAAAGAGGAAGGTGGGATGGGTAGGGGAAGGGTAATAAGGGAAAAGAAAAAAATGTGAGACAATGAAAAGATGAAAATACAGTGTTTATAGACAGGGAGGGGAGGAGGGGGTGAAGGGAGGGCAGGGACAAGGGGAAAAAATGAGAACCAAGACCTGTCACGTAGAGGTACAAGATCTCAACAATGAATGTAACTGTACTGTATCCCTAAAATGTACCAGTAAACTCAATTAAAGCTGAAAAAAAAAAGTACATTTGGGAGCAACATAAAGGGCAGTGTGAGAACTGCATCTCTCTGCGCACACACGTCTACAGTTCAGAGTGACTGGTCCCCTATGCTGGTTTGCCTCAAGCAAGAGGTGCCCCATGACACGGGAGAGGACGCCCTCGGGAATGGCAGCATGAAGCCTCAGGCCTGCTGCTCTCCCTGGGCTCCCCTGTGTCCCAGATTGCCTCTGCTGACATGATTCTGGTCACAAGTGCCATTAGGATAGATGAGCCTCATGCAGATGAGCCTCTGAACATGAACCTGCTGCACCCAGGCCACCCCAAGGCACGCCCTAGAGGTTACCGGACATATTCCTTCTTGTTCTCCTCAGTGACAGGCACATTTCTGCCATTGGGTTTCAGCTCATGCTGAAGAATCCTCCCAAAAGCATTGTGCTCAACACAGAATGTGTGATCCAGCACAGGAGTGATGTCGTTCTCTCTGCCAAAGAAGACAAGAGACATGTGGCTGTCACACCTGTGTCATCACCTAGTCCCACAGAAAGGAAGAGGAGAGAGCTCTGTGAATAGGAGCCAGGAGGGCCTGTAGCACTGGTGCTGAATGAGCTGGAAGACACAGCTGTTGTTCCTGCATCCTCAACTCGGATTTCTCATGCACGGGAAGGGGCTAGCTGCTCCACCACTCTGGTTTTATGAGACACGTGACCTAAATGCTTTTTGCCCTGAGTCTGGGCAAGAAGGGAGAGACTGTGAAGAGGTGACAGAGTCAAAGAACTGCACCCTGAGGATGCCACCCTGGGAACATGGTCTCCCTCTTTCAAGGCAGCCTTTTCACCCACACCTGTTCTCACATACAACCACTCACTCAGAAATCAACTCTGGCTCTTTAATCTACTTTGTCCCCCAAGAACATAACCTCGGTACCAGGGATTGAACTCAGGACCTTATGCTTGCGAGGCAGGCGAGGCACCAATGAGCTAAATCCCTGGCCCTTCTCTGTTCTGTCATAAGACACAGAGGGGAAGATTCCCAGTAGGAGGCAACCCTGACGCCTGGCTCAAGAACTTCGCAGTGAAGCATGTAAAACCTAGGAGGAACAAAAACAAGAAAAACCCTGAAGAGGCAGTGGAGCCGACTTAGCTCCACAGCAGCATCTGTCCTACTGCTCCCAAGAGCACTTATGATAAGGGGACTAAACACTCATTTTGTCTCGATATGTTCTTGGCCCTTCTACAGATAAGATACTGTGGCGTCTCTTTCTCTCCCCCACCCTACCCCAGGCTGGGAACAGCTATTTGACATTTGTAACTAGACCATAACAACTCAAGGAGACAGCCAAAGAAACTAGCCCATGAGGAGAAACTGGCCACTGTCATGAGAAAGGTCAATTTAGTAATTTAGTTAAATCTGTTTCTCATTGTAATACAGAGGTTTCCTTATTTCTCTTCTCCAGCTTCATACGTTCTCCAAAACACATACATACAAGCACATGTACACACACATTCAACCATGCTCCAAGCCAGGCCCTGGTGTGAATCTTCAGGTAGCTGAACACGAGTCCATACTTACAGAATCCACACCAGGCTCTTATGCAGTTCGGGGTCCACTGATTCCAGGTCAGAGAGCTGGATGGGCTTCCCAAGAAGCTGCTTGTAGAAGGGAACTGTGAAGCCCCCATTTATATAGTGTCCATGGAATACAGCCAGACCCATGATCCGACCCACGAAGTGGAAATAAGACAGATGGTCCTGTAGGGGGCAGCAGAGAACATGAATTCATTAGGAAATGAACAGCCAACCTCAGTGAGGCTTGGTTTCCTTTCTGCGAGGCTGTCTGGTGAACTGGTGAGCACCAACTCAGTTGCTTACAGGTTATGCTAATGATGGAATAAGGCTGCTTAGGGAGCTGGAATTTAGACATGTCTTTTGTATAAATTAGCATGATGTTTTGTATGTTCAGGCCTAACACTTCCTCAGAATTGCCATTTAACTTGTGGGGGTCCAGTGCAAAATAAAAATAAAAAGATCCTTTTTCAGAAAGTGAGAATTTCAGCATGGCAAGAGCAGAGAATCAAGCCAAGCCCAGGGCCCTACACAAAGCAGCCCTCCCTTACCTTCCCATTTCCCTCAAAAGAAAAGAGCCATGGGCAGTTCCCCCTTGCTCTTCTGCCAGGCCTAATGCTATGGTGGGGAAGGCACAGAGGAAAGCAAGCATGAATGAGCCAAGTGAAAAAGTAAAAGAACACTGGGGTGTGGCTCCATGGTACAGCATCTGCCTAGCATGTACGAGACCCTGCATTCAATCCTCAGTACCACCAAAAGAAGAAGCAGAAAAAAATAAAAAAAAATAAAAATAAAATAAAAGAACCACTCTAAAACCAGGGAAGGGCTCTTCCAGTTTTTAACTAGGAAACCTCACATTTCTACTTTCAGGTTTGAATTATAATCAGCTTGGAAAATTTGTCAAAACTTCACTTCCAAGTTAACTGAAGACTTCCACGTTTGAACGCTCCTGGACTTGGCCTTGGTGGCCCTGACAGCTGCCAAAGGACACGGCCCCAAAGGAATCCCCCAGGACCCACACCCAGCCATGAGCCTGTCTCTCAAGAATGTGCTCACTCAGAGTGTCAGCTTGTGCGGCTACCACGGCTGATGGGGAAATGGAGGCTAGACTTTGTAACCCACTTCTCAGACAACACCCTCAACAAAGAGGCATCACACCATGATTCCTAAGTGGCAGTGAAGTGTCCCACCGGTGTGTGAGCAGCTCCATTTTCCTGAACTCTGCTTGAAAACACCACTCCCTGGGGTCTGGGATCTGCCCTTCAGGACTATGCTTACTATGGTCTCTACATCTACAACAAATAAGCCAAAACCCAGGACTGACCCTGAAAATGCACCTTGAAAACTCCGCAACTAAACCCCAATCTCCTTACTCACACATACTTACAGGGTTAATTGAAGAATCTGGGTTGATTTGCAACATGTAAATGTTGTCCGTGGAGTACTGGAAGAGTCCATAATACGGATTCAGCATTTCATGGCACAACAAATAAAGCCACTCCCTAGGAACAACAACAAAGCTCATATGTGCTAAGAGTTCTGTGCCTAGATCTTTGAAAAAGGATCATTTCACTCTTGCCTTAGGAGTCCAAAGACATACAACAGAAAGAAGCAGCTCAACAGGATGTCTGCTCTGAAGGGTGCGATGTGTACTGATGGGGCAAACAGGCTAGGTGAAATGCAGTGTCCAGGAGCACCCCAAATGGAACCCCTCACCATAGAGTGACCAGAGCCCAACAACCCCGCAACTGAGAAGAGATGGCAAGTGACCTGGGTTCCCTGCAGGTCATCTGCCAGTCCTGGTGCCTCGCACCTAAGTCCATCTCAAAACTTGGCAAAGGCCAAAACTCAGGAAACTTGCACGTAGGTGAGGTATCAGTAACTGACAGGAGGGCCTTCTCTTGAACACCAGGCAACTTCACAATTCGGATTCTGGGTCACTTTTGTGTTTTCTTTCACTTATTTTTGGTTTCAAAATTTTCTAAAATAAAGTGTTTCACTATAAACTGAACATATTTCAAAGTCTAGAGAAGCAAACGAGGGACTGCTTAACAATGACTTTTGCCCTTCATAATTCTGCTTGATTTTTTTTACTGTAAACATTTACCACTTTTGGTAAAACTAGTTTAAGTCATGCATAGAGTTACATGCTTAGAATCCCATCACTCTAGAAGACTGAGGCAGGAAGATCTCAACTTTAAGCCCAAGCCAGGGCATCTTCTCAAGATCCTGTCTAAAATAAAAAACTAAAAAAGGCTAAGGATATAGCTCAATGTAAAAGCCCGTGGTTCAATCTCCTGTACCACAAAACAAAAACAAATAAAAAATAAAACCAGTTTAAATTTTTAAAATATTAATTCTAAGAGTGTCTAAATTCAGAGGGGTTATGAATTGTATAATTTTATGAATTCCTTTAATGTTTCCATCATTTTATTATTTCCTTAAAACTTCAAAATCTAAGGCAGCTAAACAAGAAAAGTACAATTCATCTGCTGTGGCCAGGCTACAGTTTGCTCAGGTCTGGGTTGGGTGGGCGGTTCCCATGCAGACCCCTTCCCGGACTACAATCTGCCATCCTCCTATTCACAACTGCTTCCAATATGCAACACTCATGGACAGCAGCTCAGGTTTGATTCTGGAATTTCTTACTCTTTTAAACAGAAAAGACACAGCAAAGAAACCAAACTGATGAGGTGTGGCTGTGTCTAGATGTCCCCTGCAGCCTCAGAGGTGGGGCTTTTCAGAGTCAACTATATCTAGGCTGTGACGCTGGCATTAAAGGTGCCCACCCTGGGTGTGGGTGGCACCTCCCCCAGGGTAGGTAATCAGAATGGAATATAAAATGATAGAAAGAAGGCTAGCTGCTGGTGGCACTGCTGCTGAGCTACCTCCTGCCTGCTCTGCCATGCACCTCTCTCTGCCTTGGAACCAGTCGACTATGGACTGAAACCTCTACAAACTGTGAACTAAAAAATAAACCTTTTCTCCTTTAACTTTGGGCCTTGAGTATTTTGTGAGAAAAGTAACCAAGAGGATAAACACAAATAAAAAGTATGTGTCCTCGAAAATGCACAAAAAATGACTAGATTAAAAATGGTCTAACCAAAATATAGTGGAGGTGTAAAGCTCTCCCACCCTGACTTCCCACAACTGAACCACTACTAGCACAAACTGTCAGAGGACCATGGGCTCCAATGCAGTGTCTACAGGAGATGTGGGTTCAAATTTACCTGCATAATTCTTTGACTCACACCTCAACTCATCAGACCAAGAAGCTCTCTGCCTGAGTAGGAGGTACACAGGGCAGAGAATACATTGTTTGGCCATTGTGCTCCTAGGGCCTTATAACATGGTTTTTGCTTTTGTGGTACTTGGGATTGAACCCAAAGCCTACTGAGGTAAAGTCCCAGACCCTTTTTATTTATTTATTTTTTTGAGTCAGGGTCTCGCTAAGTTGTCCAGTCTGGGGTTGAACTTGTGATCCTCCTGCCTCAGCCACCCACACAGGTGTATGTTACCATCCCAGCTGACCAGGTAGTGTAGATGGTTAGTGGATAAATATAATTCCCACAGGTACATGCATACTACAGGGGTGCTCTCCTGTGAGAATATCCAATCATATGATAGATACATTATTCTTTGTTCTTTTATATTTTATTACAATGGAATTGAATAAATGAGTATGTTGTGGTGATTTAGAAAAATCTAAAAAAATTTTTTGAGACACTGGAAAACAAGTTGAGGAAATCTTATAGAAAGTAGGGAAGGGGAAAAGGAGAAAGATATGGGAAAATTAACAAAGAGAGGAGAAGAACAGAGGATCAGGGAATCCAATATGTGAGTAATAGGCACTTCAGAAAGACCAAAGCAAGAAGTGGAAGAGAGAAAATGATGGGCAGGAGAACCTCTTCCTGCAGCAGACACTGAAGAGGAGCCCTCGCTGGGTAGGAGACACTTTTCTAGGAGCTGGTGGGTGAGCAAAACACAGCTACTCACTGAGGCAGTTTATGTCTATTGGGAGATGCAGGCAAGAGGAGGAAAATCACACGACACAGTTCATTACCCCAGAGTAACCCAAGAAAGGGAGCTCAGGACACACAGAACTGTGGATCCAGCCAGCACTGGCTCCTGACAACCCCTGGGCAGAAGAAGAGCTGGACAATCACTGGGGACAAAAGCTCCATGCAGGACCCCATGCCAGAATGGCAGAGGGAGGGGGATGTCAAATGATGCATGGAGCCAGGCGTGAAACTCAGCACTCTGGGAAGCTGAGGAAGGAGGATCACAAATTTGAGCCTAGTCTTGTCAATTCAGCAATCTAAACTATTTTTTAAATTATTTGCTAATTTTGACCAAAATTTCAAAATCATATCTTGTAAAATTTCTTAGGTACAAATGCAATTTTCATATCCTCTCCCCTCCAGGCCGGAGATCTTGTGATGGGAAAAGCCAGGTCACCTTCCTAGTAGCTTCAGGAACAGGTCCTTTGTGTTGCAGGTTCAGGCATGTAAGCTGAAGGGATGAGTCTGAAAGTTTAGTTCTAGCCATGAGAAGTAAACACAGCTAAGTATGGTGATGCACAGCCATAATCCCAGAACTCTGAGAGGCTGAGGTGGGAGGACTGCAAGTTTGAGCTCAGCATGGGCAACTTTGATTCTGTCTCAATATTGGGGGGTGGGAGTGTGGCTCAGTGTAAAGGCCCTAGGTTCAATCTCTAGTACCAGGGGAAAAAAATGTAAAAGCACAGCAACAATCACCCTCATGTTCAGGGGTTATAACCAGTGCATGACATCGTGACTGCCCCAAGTGACAAGACTGACACTGCCTGGGGAGCAGCACTTAGGAAGCAAGGGGCTCACAGCTCCCTCTGCACATGCAGCCACAGCCTCAGCCACACTAAACCCACAGAGCACAAAAGGGTAAATGGCTCCTTACCGTGCCACACCACCATAGTCCAAACCCTCTTCCCCTCTGAACTTCACCATCAGCCGCTTCTTCAGGTCTTTTGGTCGCATCTTCATGATCTGACGGTATGATTCCTACATATCAAAATAACATCATCAGAGAGAAGGATGTTTCTTATTCTTAAACTTACAAAAAGATTAAAGGATACTGATAATAGACTACTTAAATACAAGCATCCATTCAAATGCAAATTTCCTGTGGCTCCTACTGCAGCCCAACCCCTGCAATTCATCCTGTTTTCTCCTGTAACTTCTTCAGAGGTAACAGGAAGACAAAGTGCAAAGCCAGGTTGGGCTAATCTGGAAGGAAACATGTAAATATGTGTTCAGCATGATCACTAAGGATTAAAGACACATGTCCTCTTTAGGGTTGATTTTTCTCTATACAAGCTTTTTTTTTTGGTACCAGGGATCAAACTCCGGTCCTTGCTCTTGTGAGGCAGGCAGCAGAACAACTGAGCTAAATCCACAGCCCTTCTCTCTACAAATTAATTTTAATATGCCCTATAAACAATTTTTGTATTTTAACCAAAACGAAGGACATCATTAGAGTTTGTGTGTTTAAAGAACTCTGAGCCTGTTTTAATAGCTAAACTGAAAAATCACACCTGATTTTCCACTGAGTCAAAAAGCAAAAAAGAATCTGAGTGAGACATCAAGTTGCTTAGGCAAAGTACAGAAAACAGGTGGTCAGCCTGGCATTCCCTTGGACTTAGCATTGCAGGTGGCAGGTGTTTGCAGTTATTTCCACTGATGGGACACTCAAGAATCTTTTTATGACCAGGCATGGTGATACATGCCTGTAATCTCAGCCCTTGGGAAGCTGAGGCAGAAGGATCATCGTTGAGTCTGAAGGCCAACTTGGACTACATATTGAGTTCAGAGCCTGAACTACATATCAAGAGACTGTCTCAAAAAAAGAAGAAGAAGAAGAAGAATCTTTTCCTGTTTCAAGGTTAATGCAGTTCAAACTCTCTCATTCCAGGCAGGAATGGGCATTCTGGTGGAAATGATGTGGCAGCAAAAATTCAAGTCTTTTCCATCTCTACCAACTGTTAAAGACTGCTAGATTGGCAAATCAAGGCATTGCAGACATCCCACCACCACCTACCTGGCCCACATGGCCAGGCTGCTTACATCTATGCTGCAGTGGGAAGGGGTTCAGCACCCTGTGTGGTAGCCTCACCCTAGGACCACCCTCAGGTGCCACAGCTCCTCCTTTCCTGGGTGTACCTTTGGTACAATTTTCTTTTCCTCCAGGTACTAGACATTAAACCCAGGGCCTTTGCATTGAAATACAGACCTGATCCTTTTTATTTTTTTAATTGTGAGACAGGGTCTTGCTAAGTCACTAGGCTGTCCTGGCTGGGCTTCAACCTGCAATCGTCCTGGTCAGCTTCCCAGAGTGCTGGGATTATACTCAGCTTCATATGGCACCTTCTGCAGATGTCTCCACATGAGAGGGCGGGATGTGGCCTAAAGACCTCTGACCTTGCCACCATCTTTTTTTTTTTTTTTTTTTTTTTTTTTTTTTTTTTTTTTGCGGTACCAGGGATTGAATTTAGGACCTTGCAGTTGCAAGGCAGGCACAGCATGCCTGAGCTAAATCCCTGGCCCTACTATCACCTTTCTTGAGTGAAGGCTTCAGTCCACAGAGACCTCAATCCTGGGGGGGCAGCTGTATTAGGGACTGAGCCCTCCCCAGATCTGCTCTCCCTACTCCCAGCAGAGACCAGAGGCCATGAGGCCACTGGCTTCTCTGAGAAGGAAGTGCCTCTAAGAGAATCCCTGCATATGTCTCTCTACAGGAGGCAGACACTGAGGTACAGCCAATCTGTACAACACAGAGATAGTACCAGTTCCTGCCCAAATCTTTAGGCTTTCATCTCAGACACTGTCTAGTTTTTAAACTGTTGGCACAAGAGGAAATATAGCTCCTTGTCTCGACCTGGACCTTTGTCCTGAGAAATATCCATTTCCCAGAGCCATATCAAGTCCACACCTGAAATACCCATTAATACCTGCAGCAGACAGGGCTCATCAGAGAAGGAAACACCCCCCCACAGCAGGGCATTTAACAACATAGGAGCCAATAATCACCATGGCTGTTTATCCACAGGGCTGAAGAGTCTAACCTGACAGACACACTTATACCTCAAATATTTCTTCTCTGGAAACCTCAATGCGGCAATGCCCAGCCTGGGGTTGCTGAAGTGAGAGCTCATGTCTCAGGACTTTCAGTTTCTGGACCAAATCTCTTTCATATCTCTGGGCAGGAAGCTCTTCATCTTCCACAGAGCCTTCACTGGGCAGGGGCAGTGGCTGGCTGGGCTCCTTGAGTTGGCACTGGTGACTAGAGAAGAGAAGGAAAACAGCCAAGTCACTCTGCAAGCACAGGCCAACAAGCAGCAGGCAGAGCCCACTTACAACAGTGGCTTAGAAGAGAGCTTTCTCACTGCCCCCATAACTGTATAGTCATCAGTGGTGGCCATCAGCCTAGATGTAGATCTAGGGCACAATGAAGGAGAGCTCCAATTCTAATCCTCCACATGTATCATACATTACAAATAAAACATAAATTGTTATCATTTACTGAGTAAGCATTTATTACACACCGATGGGACTGAGAAGCATACTATCTGATGTGCCTCAGTGGTCACAATAAAATGGAGTTGATGGGTCTGTGTGGTACCAGGGATTGAACTTGGAACCTTGCACTTTTGAGATAGGTGGCAGAACCACTGAACTAAATCCCCGGACCTGGGAAATCTTTTTTTCTATAGTGGAAAGAGGTGATACACCAAAGTGAACACCTTAGGTGAACTGTGGTGCAACCATTCCTTATTTTGGGAAATAAAATGAAAAATGAAAAACAATTTGGGGGGGCACTGGAGATCAAACTCAGGACCTAGTGCTTGCGAGGCAGGTGGCAGAACCACTGAGCTAAATCCCCAGCCCTAAATGCAAAATTTCAGTACAATAAAAGGATTAAGAACAGTACAAAGACAAAGTGGCATTTGCCTTGTGCAAGTCTACCACTAACGTCAGCTGCCACTTAGAATAGTGGTGTGATGTTTGCTCTGAGAACAAAACATCATGGGCTACTACGGAATGATGATATCACAGGGTAGCAGCAGGCCTTTCTGAACAGTGGCACTGGCAGAAAAAGCCACACCTGCCTTTACACTGCTATGAGAGGAAGTCTTGCTAATGAAGCGGCTTCATATTGTCATCTGGGTGACTTTAATTTACACTGCAAGTACAGAAAGCAAACATGCAATTGTCTGCTGAATATGTATCTTGTTTTGTTCATGCTCTGTCCAATAAACAAGGCAGTAAGTGAAGTAGGAAAAATATTAGTACAAGAAAACATTCAAGAAAAAAACTGGATGGAAGAGGTTAACAAAGATTTTTTTCAAAGTCTTACTTCATGATATGATGTAACCTTGGGTCTGTAAACTGGGTTGTTCGGTTATTATGATCCACAAAATATATTCTCCCAGAAACTGTACTTCGGACTTCCCAACCTGGTGGCAGTGGTCCAAGTTCATCGCAGTTCACACTATTAAGGTCTCTGCCAAAATGGAAATAAAGAGAGGTTTATCCAACTGAGTTCAGAGGAATAAGGTCAACAGCTCAGATATAGGAGCCACGGGGGTCCCTATCAAGGTGTCTATGTGCCTGCTCTGCTGAGGAGTCTGAGACCAGGCCTCTGTGCTGCAAATGGCAGCAATGCCCAATAGGTTACAATGGAGCTTCCTGAGCTGATACCATCCTTAAGCACGGGTCTACTCTTGGGCTAGTGGTGAGCATCTGAATGCTGGGAGAACTATCTGAATGCATTAAATTAAACACTCAAGGTCAGAAAGGTTTCCTTTTTTTTTGTTTCTTGTTTTGGCACTGGGGATCAAACTCAGGACCTTGTGCTTGCAAGGTAGGTGGTAGAACCACCGAGCTAAATTCCCAGCCACAGAAAGGTTTCTTTAGGGAAAAGTTCCCAGAGGACCCAGGTTCTCCAGGCCAAGCGGGACATGTCATGTACATGTGAAAAACTCGTCACTCTGAACAGCTGCAGCAGGGGAGGTTTTTTCCTTTTTGAGTTGGCTTCTGTTAAGCAAGTGTTTTTGCTTCTGGATTCTTGATTAATTACTTCAATACAGCATCACTGACCAGGATGCTTTCATAATTATCATTAAACCTTGTTATTTCTTTCTTTTTTTTTTTTTTTTTATTTTTTTTTTTTTTTATTTTTTTTTTTTTTTATTTTTTTTTTTTTTTATTTTTTTTTTTTTTTAACAATCATTATAATTATTAACTAACAGGGATTTACTTTCTTCATGTTATCTAAAACAGGAAAAACACATAGGAATTATTTGTTCTCTCCATAATTTAAACCTTGTTATTTCTTACAGTGGAGACTACGGAGATACCTTATTCATCTGCAGGTAATATTTCTAATTATAGATACTGAATCATAAATGCAATATAATATAGACTTGGAAAATCAAACAAAAAGCTTATTCTCAGGTGAAACAAATGAGCAAAAAGGAAATGAGCATTACTAAAAATCTTATTAGGTAGTAATGGTATTTTTAAAAAAAAGAATGCAAAGAAAAGGAAAAAAAAAAACAACTCTATTATGGGGTGGGGCGGTCTCTCTGACATGGGCTCAGATTTATGGCCTTGTAAAAGGAATTCATATAGAAAAGCTTCACAAGAGGGACAGTAAAGTACAAGAGAGAAAGGGTAACAGAGTCTTTATAGTTCCTTTTTAACTTATTATTATGGAAATTTTAAAGCATATAATGAAAAAGTAGGGAAAGACCACAATGAATTACTCCACAACCAACTCTGCTCATGCTCAACCTTATTTCAGATACACCCCACTCACCCCCACTCCAATTATAAGAAGCAAAACACAGACTCCGTCTCGTTTCCCTCGTTAACGCTTGCAGTTTAAACTGGGAGCGACACACCTGGAAGGGGCTGGCTTTTCACACCAAGTGCTACAGGGTATTTCAGAAATATACCTGGGTATCCGGGGGTCGTGCCATGTGCTCACTCCAGTCTGTGTGTGCAAAAAGTAAACTTGCCCCTGTACTGTTGTTCTCTGTTCTGCACAAGAGATTAGGGGACACAGTTAGATATGCTCAATACCACAGGGAGTTTCAACCAGGCCTGTACTGAACGCTCCCCAGATTCTAAGCTTCCTTTCAACACCAGCAGCAGCACCAGCACCAGCACCAGCACCAGCCCCCTTCAAGCAGTGGGACTGCACCCTCAGCACTAACATGAGAGAAGGGCTGGCAAGGGATGTCATAGCCCCACCTGGCTTCCTCAAGAACAGCCCTGTCTCCTGTGCCTTTCCTGAGCTGGACCCTTCCTTGTGCCCTAGCCCCTTGCTGTCCCTCCCACATTCAAGTGATAGACCACTGCACCTTCCCTCACTTACTTACCTTACCCTTCACTTGGGTTCTCTCTGATGTTAAAGTGCCTAAAATTAATTTTACATGATTTCTAAACTGAGAAGTTAGTGCAACTGCTGAGGATTCATGATTAGCCAGATTTGTCAGAATCTCTCCCAGGCACCTGTCTTGACACAGCCACGTGGACACTAGCAGTGAAGGCGGGATTGGTGAATACAAGGCATTTACCAACCCAGAGCACCCCAAAACCAAGCCTCACCATAGCCTTCAGGCAGTTCCGGTGACTGGTGGCCATGTGGCCGGTTCTGGGGCGTCTGCAGTGAACTTCGGACCTCGGAGTTCCGAAGTCGCTGTGCCTGGAGTCTCTGATCTTGACTCGGGGACTCCACAAACCTGCAGTTGCCCCCACCTGCGGCAGCGCCAGTGCTATCTGTGTAAGGGGCGGGCTCCTCCATGAAGCAGCTAAGCGGCCTCCCAGGTCCCGAGTCTTCATACACGGACCTGTGGGAGCAGGGTAAGACAGCGGGTTGGGGGTCATGGGTCACACACTTGGAACTTCACACACCTGTCCTCCCTGTGTGGCAGCCATTTGCGTCCATTCCACTTTAACAACTGCCAAGTGTTCAAGTGTGTGGTTTTTAAAAAATTCATCTTGTGACAATTAAAGATTCTTTCAAGTAGAACAGGTGGTCTAAGAGAGGCACATTTTAGTGTTGCTCCAGGTGTGTCAGAGCCAGGGCCACCCGCACAGAACCACTTTAGGTTACAAGTGGAAGGTCCAACTGAGTACTATAAGAAGTGCATGACATGTGATCTCATTTCTCTACATTTAAAATCAAATCCATTTTGCCTGCTGTTGTACTCTATAGACTTCTGGTTTCATAACATGCCACAGCTACACTAAGTGCTTTTAAACATGAATCTTTACCACTTGAGCAAGTCTGAAGACAATTTATATTAGTGCTGTTTTTTCTTTTATAAGCAAGCACTCTTTTCAAACTTCTTATATTTGGAATTTCCTAATACATGCATAGCTGAAGAGACCAGAGAAGGGCTCTGCCTTGCTGTCCCCCAGCTCCACTCCTCCTCCTCCACTGGGCTATTCTGAAGCTAGTCCAACACTGCATCACTTCACCCCTGAACATTCCAGCATAGCCCTCTAGCACACAAGGACTTCTTCCCATTGTTACAACTTAAAAAAAAAAGTGTATGAATTCTGAAAAAAAATTATCAAGTATCAGGGTTCAAATTTCTCGAATTATCTCACAAATCAGGATCCTAAGCCCACATGTTGCATTTAGGAGACTTGGTGGCTCTCTCAGGCCTATTATTTAGTTTATCTTTCCTTCCTTTTTATTTCTTGTAGTGTTTGAAGGCACCAGGTTGTCTGCCCTTAAAATGTCCTGTTTAGGATGCTGCTTACTGAATTCCTTTGGGGCAGGTAACACACTCCTCTTCCTCTGAATTGCCATGATATAAGCCCAGCTGCCCACTAACTTGCCTGGGATGGGCTGGAACTTGTGATCCTCCTGCCTTAGAATGCTGGGATTTATAGGCATGTCCCACCATGCCTGGCTGGCTGTTAGCAATTACTGATCACTGGCTAAGTCTACAGTCGGAGACTGCAAAATTTCAACAGGGACCAAGGAGGTTTAGAATTTAAAAAAAAATTTTATTAGTACATGTTTGTAGTACATAATGATTACACTTATCATGGGAGGAGGTTCTGAATTTTTTGTTCTGTCTTATTTTTAGTGTTTTAGGGTTTTTACCCCCTTAGTACGACCTCATGAATTTTTAAATATATTTGATGGATGGATTTCAATTCACTGCACTTATAATTTTTACTGATCCTCAAACTATTCCATGAGGCCTGTGGGAGCCTCCCTCAGTTGGATTCTGAGTCTTTTATGCACAGCTTTCTTTATAAACAAGTAAAATGGAGTGTATTTTATCCCAAAGTCCCCAAGTGCATCTCAAGCACCCAGCAAAAAGAGGTAGATAGGAAGGTTACTCAGAGCCCAGAGCAACCGAGCACTGTGCTGGCAAAGCCACAGCTATACGTACCCTTCATTTTCCAACAGTTCTCTGCAGTCCACCACTGACCCTCCAGGGCCTATTCTGTCTCTTGTCTGTAAACTGACTAAAGTGGAAAAGAAGAGCTTGCATTAAAATCGAGGGGTATTTTATACATGGCAGTAAAGTGAGCTAGTGAAATTGTATCATTTATGCATGGAATAAAAAAGGCACATGTAGACACCCCCCCCCATATGAAGCATCTCACTTCAGTAGCTACACCATGTACTACTTAGAACACTCCGGGAAATGTGGCACAGAAAAGGGGCTGTGTTTCTTATAGTTCTCATAAAATAACACAATGTAACAGTCAGGACAGTCAGGTTTTTGAGGGGGATCTTTTGTTACTGTTTATTTGTTTTGAGGCAAGTTGCCCAGGTAGGACTCAAACTTAAGAACCTCTGGCCTCAGCCTCCCAATTTGCCGGCATTATAGGCAAGTATGACCACACCTTGCTAATATTCAATTCTTTTAAATCACCTTATTTTTTTTTCCCCCCCAGAACTGGGAATTGAACTCAAGACCTTGCACTTGCCAAGCAGGCATGGCACCACTGAGCTATATCCATGGCCCCTTATTTCTTAATAAGTTTATGACATGTTTAATAATGACACAGGGTACACTCAATATTGGCAAAGTCTAGGCCAATCTAAATATTAATGCTGCAGCATGACTATGAACAACAATGACATCTGTAAAGTTGTTTTCATTTGTTTTTTTTTGCCCTGGCACATCCCTCCACAAAGAAAAGAAAAAGTTTCAAAGGGAAGAGCAGCAAGAACTTCTTGGTTATATCATCTCTAGGACATACACGCAATCTAAATATTAATGCTGCCGCATGACTATGAACAACAATGACATCTGTAAAGTTGTTTTCATTTGGTTTTTTTTGCCCTGGCACATCCCTCCACAAAGAAAAGAAAAAGTTTCAAAGGGAAGAGCAGCAAGAACTTCTTGGTTATATCATCTCTAGGACATACACGCACTGTCACCTGCCTTAGGTCAAATCCACCTAAGCAATCTGAGTCAGGAAATGACTTCTCTGTGCTCTGTGACACCGTTTCTTCTGATGCCTTGCAATGCATACTGTCAACATTTGTGTTACCCTAAAATACTGATAAAGAATGAGGTGGATAATAGGATGAGTAACTTAACAGATACATCACTCACAATGCCCCCAGACAGCACTATGTAACAGTAGCATTTTTAACTTTTCACTCTTCATAATGTAATTCTCTGAGTCTATAAATGTTATTGCTTGTATTTAGATGTTCCCTTAAAGCCTCGTGTGGTCATAGGCAGGGCTTTCCAGGGGTGATTAGATTCATGGTGCGTGAATGATTCATGGTGCAATGGATTAAGGATTAAGGGTGAGGGTAAACAGCCTGGATACAATAAAAGGGACAAAAAGAGGATTGCAGTTAGCTACTTGTAGTCTTGTCATTTGCTTGCTTTGCTACCTTCTGCTCACAATGAACTGTTTGTCCTCATGATGCCCCTCTGCCATGCCACTTTGCCTTGGAGCCAGCCGATAATGGACTACAAAATATGAGTGAAATAAACCTTTCCTCTCTCAAGTTGTGAGTATTGGGTATTTTGTCTCAGGAATGAGTAAAGTAACTAAGACAATAAACTACATTATATGGAATTCTTCAGAAATCTTTACTTTTTACATATATAAGAGGGCTTCCTAAAGAAAGTGTGTCTAAGCTCTTGCATATGTGGCCACCATCATTATTTACCTTTGGGTAATACAGTAATAACTGTCCATTCATGTGATAATTAAAATGACACTGGAGGGTCGGGGATTTAGCTCAGTAGTTCTGCTGCCTGCCTCACAAGTGCAAGGTCCAGAGTTCGATCCCCAGTACTTAAAAAAAAAAGACATAGGAAATCATAACCCTAAGTGTTTCTGTACCAGAGTCATATCAATTCAACTTTAAATGTTAGGATAAGGGGAACAGAGAAAATAATAAAAACTACACACAAGAAATGGTTTCAGTGAAGAGATGACTCATACGTGGTCTGTCCTTTGAAGTATATCGTGCTCACTGCCTACATAAGTTCCTGTATGCTCTTTAAAAGTATCCTTTAGGGCCAGGGATTTAGCTCAGTGGCACTGCACCTGCACAAGTTCCTGAGTTCGATCCCTAGTTAAAAAAAAAAAAAAAAAAAAAAAATTAAAGCATCCTTTATATACATGAGAAAGTTCTTACCTACTATTTGGCCACGAACTGCATCAGTATCTGAGGGATTTAGTTTGCATAGATCCAAACGCTGGTCTGCAAACAAACAATTCAAAACTTAACCCAAGGAAAGCGAACTAGGGAGGAAGGCAGGAATTCTGTACTCAGCATACAAAAAAAAAAAGGGTGCCTCCTAAGCTTTCTTCAGTTGCATTAAGAGGCAGAGGAGCTTTTGGTTCTTACAGCCAGTGTCTTTTAGCCGGCTGATGGCGTTGGAGAGCAGCCGCACGCAGCCCAGGAAGCCAGCTCCCTGCTTCTTGTGAATTTTCTTGTGGTTCCACACGCTGATGGTTATAGAATCAGTTTTCCCAACATATCTGAAAGGAGCAAATAAATTTTGTTTAACTGTGTTTCTGAATTATGAGACTCTCATTATAGTCTTATTTATCAGACTGACTCAGGAATCCTTACAAAATAACATTGGCTCAGTATCCCGTATGGAACAGGCATTCAATTAACACAATCCTAATAACTGCAACAGGCTATGGGAAAGGACTACAACCAGGTAAACAAGGAGCACATGGAAATAGCCAAATGATAACAGAGATCTGTAGGCAAGGCTTAGTGTATTTTAACATTCCACAGGACAGAGATACATGCATATGTCCCCACCAATAAGGTTTAACAACAAAGAATGCAAGCTTGCAATAAGGGGCTCTATGTGAATTCACAGATCCATCCAAAGCACATAAAAACACACTAAGATATCAGACCCCCTTCACTCTCGCTGTAAGTGAACCACAGTAAAGGACTTCAGGACAAGAAATGATTGCCACTTTCACAGCCATCTCTGGCCCCTCAATGGAACTAAAACCAAATTGTAGAATATAGCAACTACTAACTAAAGATCCCACTATGCTTGTACATAGTACAATTTGTTTTAATACAAAACCAATAATCATTCAGTATTACTTTGATGAAAATTTCTTAGTAGGGACATGAAAACACAAAGGCATATAAAATAGTGATCTTTAAAGTACAATGTATTCTCTGAATGAATATTTGTAATTGTTGAGTAATTTATGAGATTATACATGATCAATCCTATGAAACTATTTCCTCCTGCAGGAAAAAAAAAGTTTATTCAAAAACCAAGTTTTTAAAAACCAGTAGACATATGTGATTGTCATAATGCATTTTTCAGGTAAAAACTACAACTGGGCTTAGGGTTTTACTGAAAAACAGTAGTATGTTGGGGACATGAACTATAGCCTCATAGCCTTTTTCCCTGCTAAAATGCCCAGAGGATTGAAAAGTCTGGGGATCACAGTTACATAAGAAAATCATAAAAATCTATGAAAATACCAAATGTAAGAACTTCCAAGTACATAAGCTACACAATGAGGCAATCATGTATTCATTTGGCTGTCTACTTTTGTTATCAATCCAAAGCTAGCAACTTTTTTCTTCCTTAAATTCTTCTTCTGAGAGACAGACACCTACTCTCCTGCCCTCCCCATATGGCTCACAGGACATCAACTCACAGATCGTAGTGCTGATTCCACTTTGGGTCCAACGTGTTTTTCACAGTGTCGGTTGAGTGGCACTGCCCAGAGCCATCCACCACAATCTTAGCAAAGGGGTCAGGGAGTCCTAGGAGGGAGAGGACATCCACACCCAGGTGAGCCGATGGGACAGTCAAAGAGACACACATCACTTCCAGGATGGAGGAGGCTGCAAGATCTTCTAGCATGATAAAGAAGGGTCCCTGGGATATTTTATTCACTGCTTTGTTAGTTTCATTTGGAAAAGTAAGTTTATCACTGTTAAGCATTTTTTTCCCCCTTCAGTATTGCAAAGTGGACCCAGAATCTTTACGCTGAGCTACACCACCTTCTTTGAGACAGGGTCTCACTAAGTTGCCCAGGCTGGGCTCAAAACTGCTACAGCTAGGACCTATTATAGATGTGCACCATTACTCCTGGCCACTCACTATTTAGCTCTCTAAGAGAGATACCCAGTATATCTCTAGTCCAATTTTTTTCCTTTTATTAAAAAATAAGTAAATTATACACACACACACACACACACACACACACACACACACACACACACATATTCAATCCCCAGTCCAAAAAAACAAAACAAAACAAAACAAACAGGCTTACATTCAAATTTGTCTGTGATTACCATGCTGAGTGGGGACAATTAAAGGAAGAAAAAGGTGCCTGTAATTAGTTGTATTTACACTTTTGAAAAAATACAGTCCTAGCAGTCTGCCAGGCATGGTGGCACACACCTGTAATCCCAGCACTCTGGGAGCCCAAGGCAGGAGGATCACAAGTTCAAGACTCAAAATAAATAAAAAATAAATGGGGTTGGGACACAGCTCAGTGCAAAGGCCTTGAGTTCACTCAGACAAAAAGAAATGAGTTCCCAGAAATCTTGTTTGCTGATCTTTGCCTTCCTACCTACAGAAGCAAGCATTCACCAAGTCTGAATTTATCAAGTCCTTAAATGGTAGTATGAATCAGACAAGTTTATAGAATCAGACAGGGGGCATGGTATGAAGGTTTTATAGACAGAGCTAAATGTGAGCCACCTCTTCAGAGCTTCCCAGGTAGTTGGATAAAGCCTTTGGGCCTAAGTTTCTTGTTTTTTAAGGTGTTAATAATACCATTTAAGAGTTAAGCAGAGATCTTGAGAGGAGCAGAAAGTGTGAACAATTTAACTGCATCTTCTTTATAGTAGGTGAAGTTCTTTTTTCTTTAAATTCTTACATTAAGAGTCCATTTAAGAGTTAAGCAGAGATCTTGAGAGGAGCAGAAAGTGTGAACAATTTAACTGCATCTTTATAGTAGGTGAAGTTCTTTTTTCTTTAAATTCTTACATTAAGAAGCAGCTCTCCTTTAGAAAAGGATTGTCTATTCACAATTCCTTTAATTAGAAAGCTTTTAAGATGTGATCTAATTTATAAAATTTGATTAACAACTTTTTTTCAAACCAGCTATTTTGTAGAAAAACGTCTCATTTATATTTGTGTTGAGTCTACTTTATTCAGCAAAAAGCAGTACCCTAAAATGGGTGGTAGACAGAGAAGACCAGGGTGCAGCTAAAGAAGAGAATGAGAGAGAAACTTTGATAGGATTTTAAAATTCTGTATCTTTTAACTGGGAAGACTCAATGCTGAGAAATGAAGTTTGTCCAACTATAGATTTGTATTCCAAGACTTTTGTGTTCTTTAGAAAGCTTAACATTTCAGAAATACACGAATAATCTTAATAGAGTAAAAATGGTTGTTTACTTACTGAAGAAGTCTTTCTTTGCAAGATTCTTGGCACATAATACTAAAAACAAACAAAAATATTAGGGTTAGTACTTATAGACAAGATTTCCAACATAGCTAGTTTGTATTTTCAATGGAAAAGTATTCCAAAAATTATCTTTACCAATGAGTTCTTTCAAATTTAGTATCATACTAAAACAAATCAGAAACTATGTAAAAAAATGTTTTCTCCACAAATTGGGAATCTATTACAACAATTCTAAAATCCTTCGAACTTAAAGTCTTAAACACAGAGACAGATGTATCAATATGCTCTTGTACTACAAAGGATCATATAAAACCATATTCAAATGACAATTTACATTATTACCTTTATAGCAACTAATAGCAAGCAAAAAAGCTAATTTTTGCTGACCTGAAAATAAACACAAAGTGCTGGAGCCTTGCACGTGCTAAGTGGGAGCTCTACCACTGAGCTAAACCCCAGGCAGTATCACAATTCTGTAAATGTAAATTTTGGTATGTTAGAAAATAGAAAACAAGGGGAAAGCAGTAGAAAATATGGAGCTATTTTCAGGATATTGTGAAAGAAAAATGACAAAATGTGTGTTAAAAATCTAGCACAAGCTGGGCAATGGTGGTGAGTGCCTGTAATCTCAGCACTCTGGGGGGCTGAGGCCATGGAATTGCAAAACTGAGTCCAGCCTAGGCAACTTAGACCCTGTCTCAAAATATTAAAAAGGGTCAGGCCAACAACAGAGCTCAGAGCAAAGGCACTGGATTCAATCCCCAGTACCACCAAAATTAGACTGAAATAAAACAAAAATAAATAAAATCTTGTCACTAGAACTGCTATATAATTAAAGTTTACTATATCAAGGGAAATACAATGTACTTTCCTTTTGTATACTACCTCACAAAATTTACCTAATTTATAAGACTATAATGTTATAAATACTTTACAAAAATGGCTTCATATAACATATTATTCTACAAACTTTCCACTTTGTTTTTACATAACAGCTTTTAGATATAACTTATATACCATACAATTCACTCATTTACAGTGTGTAATTCAATGGTTTTTAGTGCACTTGTGAGGGTGAATAATTATTACCACAATCAATTTTAAAACATTGTCATCATCCCCAAAAGAAGTACTTCACCCATCAGCTCCTCATTTAACTTCCAACACTCCAGTCCTGGGCACCTATTCTGAGCATTTCATATGAGTGGATCATGTGCTGTGTGGTCTTTTCTGACTGGTCTCCTTCACCAAGCATAATGTTCTCAATGCTCACCACCCACTTCATCACAGGCAGCAATGCACCATTCCTTTTATAATGGAGTGAGCCCTTATATGGCTACCAGATTCTCTTTTCTCATTCATCAGCAGATGGAGATAGGGTTGTTTTTAACTTTTTGGCTATTATAAATAATCCTGTACAAGTTGTTTTGGAGACATACGTTTTATTTCTCTTCATTAAATCCTGTGTGTGAAAAATGCTTGGGGTGGGGGCACCATAAGGTAACTGTATGGACATTCTGACAAGTTTCCGGAACTGTCTCGCACAGCTTGGCACCACTCACCATCCCCACCACCTGAGGATGAGGGCACCAGCTGACCCATCCTCACTCACCCTTTTTACTGTCTTTGAGGTTTTGATTTGTAACCCCCCCAACCCCCCCCCCCCGTACCAGGAATCAAACTCAGGACCTTGTGCTTCCCAGGCAGGCGTTGTGCCACTGAGCTACATCCCTGGCCCCTGATTTGAGTCTTTTATGACTTCACACTTTGAGCATCTTTTCATGAGCTTACTAGCTACCAGTATATCTTCTTGGAAGAAGTTTTTTGCTTTGGTTTGGTTTTGGGTTGTTGTTTTTTCCTGATCTTTCCTCAACTTCAAATTGAGTTGTCTTTTTGCTACTGAGTTGTGAGAATTCTTTATACTGTACAACATTCTAAAACCCTTTATCAATACATTATTTTATCCCATTCTGTGTGTTGTCTACTTTCTTAATGGTGTTCTTCAAAGCACCAAAGTTTTAATTTTGATTAAGTTCAACTTATTTACACTCTTTGGCTGCTTGTGTTTTCGGTGTCCTATCTAAGGCAGCTTTGCAGAATGTTTTCTTCTAAGCACTTAATAGTACAGATGCACACAATTATTGATAATAGCTAAAAAGTAGAAATAGTTCATATGTCCATCAGCTGATGAATGGATTCTTTCATTAGCTCTTAAACATATATTTAGGTCTATGATCCATTTTGAGTTGGTTTTGTTTGCAATATTGAGAAAAAAACCTGGACCTCAAGCATGGTAGGCAAGCACTCTATTACTGAGCTACATCCTAAGCCCGTTTTTCAATTATATTTCAGATATGGTCTAGCTAAGTTGACCAGGCCAGATAGGAACTTAGGATTCTCTAGCCTCAGCCTCCAAGTAGCTGCTAGCATTTGTTATTAGAGTTTTTTGTTTGTTTACTTGTTTAATGTAGCTATTCTTTCTGGAGTAAAATAGAATCTAGATCATGTTTTAATTTTCATTTCTCTGATGGCCAGACGTGTTGAAGATTTTTTTTTGTTGTATTTACTGACCATCTGTACTTCTTCTGAAAAATATCTATTCATTTCACTTGCCCAATTTTTTAATCAGATCTTTTATCTTTGGGGAGTCCAGCTTTTATGAGTTCTTTATATAGTCTAGATATTAGTCCTTTATCTGAGGAAGAACAGACAAATTTTTTTCTTATTTTACAGGATGTCTCTTCACTGTTGGCTGTTTCCTTCACTATGTAGAAGTTAATTTGATATAATCACATTTGTTGATTCTTGCCTTTATCTCTTGTGCAACCGGGGTGCTGCTTGGAAAGTCCTTGCCTATTCCTTCAAAAGTTTCACTTATTTTACTTTCCAGCAATTGTTTCTGTTTTAATAGGTAGATCTTTGAGCCATTTTTATCTTAGTTTAGTACAGGGTGAGAGGTACAGAATCACTCTAGATTCACTCTTCTGTATGTATGTATGTATATATATATATACATATATACATATACATCATATACATAATACATATACATATATATATATATATATATATATTAGCCAGTACTTCTCAGCAGTATTTGTTAGAGGCTTTCTTCCAATGTATGTTTCTGACCACTTTGTCAAAGATTCACTCTTCCATATATGTCTAGATTCACTCTTCTGTATATTTATAGAATAGCCAGTACTTCTCAGCAGTATTTGTTAGAGGCTTTCTTCCAATGTATGTTTCTGGTCCCTTTGTCAAAGATCAGATGGCTCAACATGCTTGGGGCTGTTTCTGTATGCTCTATTCTGTTCCACTGATCCACATGTCTGTTTTTGTGCCAGTACCATGCTGTTTTTATCACTATAGATTTGTAATATAACTTCAAGTCCAGGATTGTGATGCCTCCTCCTGCTTTGTTCTTTTACTCAGGACTGCTATTCTAAAATCTATTCTAGATTTTTTTCTAGTTCCATACTAATTTTAAGATTGTTTTCTTTAATTCTGTGAGGAATCCTGCTGGAATTCTGATTTGGATTACATTAAATCTATATATGGCCACTCTGAAAATACTGAGTCTGCCTATCCATGAAAAGGAAATACCTTTCCATTTTCTGATGTCCTCTTAGATCTCTTTTTTTAACAGTATTGTCATTTTTATTATAGAGGTCTTGCTTCCTTTGGTAGGTTAATTCTTAATATTTAATTTTTCTTGGAGCTATTATGAATGGTACTGTTTTCCTAATTTCTTTCTTGGTGGGTTCATTATTGATATACAAAAACACTACTCATTTTTTGTGTGTTTACTTTGTATCCTGCTGCATTGCTGACTTTGTTTATGAGCCTTTTGGTGAAATTTTTTAGGACTTCTACAAAAATGATCATGTTATATGTGAATAAGAATAGTTGGACTTCTTGCTTTCTTATTTGTATCCCTTTCATTTTTTTTCCTCTTGCCTGATTGTTTGGCCAAAGTGTGAAGTAATATATTGAACAAGAACGGTGATAGTGTATGTCTTTGTCTTGTTTCTGAATTTTCTGGAAAAGCTTTCAGTTTTCCCCATTTAATATGATGTACTAGACAAAAGATCAACAAAGAAATATCAGAACTGAACCATACCTTCAAACAAATGGACTTAACAGATATTTATAATGTTCTGTTCAACAACAGCATACAATTTCTTCTAAGCAACGCAGGAAACTTTCTCCAAAAAGACCACATAACTAGCCAATAAAGCATACTTATATACATACATGAGAATAAAAATTATCCTATGAAATTAGAAATCAATGACAAAGGAAACCACAGAAATTATACAAACACATGGAGATTAAACAATATACTCTTGAATAATCAGTGGGTCACAGAAGAAATTGAGAAAGAAATTAGTTCCTAGAATCAAACAATAATGCCAGTACAATTTACCAGAACTTATGGGACAAAATGAGAATAGACCTAGAAGAGAAGTTTACAGCTATAAATGACAGCATCAGAAAAACAAAGTGAGCCCAAATAACCTAATGATGCACCTCAAAGTCCTAGAAAAACAAGAACAATACAAATCTAAAGCTAGGGTATGAAAGAAAATAACAGATTAGAGCAGAAATTGTCTAAAGTGAGACTAAAAAAAAAAACAATAAAAAGAATGAATCAGAGAGCTGGATCTTTGGAAAAAATAAACAAAATAGACAAACCCTTAGCCAAACTTACCAAAGGGGGGGGGCAAATCAATGCAATTAGAAATGAAAAAAAGCAAAATCACAATGGGCACTGCTGAAATCCAGATTATTTGTAACCACTTCAAAAATCAGTACTCCAATAAACTGGAGAATCCAGAAGAAACATATACATTAATAGATAATTTAATACCAGACAATGAAATTGAGGCAGTAATAAAAAAAACATTACCAGCTAAGAAAAGCCCAGGAATGGCTGGATTCACCACTGAATCCTATAAGAACTTCAAGGAAGACCTAACACTGATACTTCTCAAACTCTAATAAACTGAAAGGGAAGGAGTACTACCAAATTCATCC